TGGGGGAAGCATCCCCGAAGGCTAGAGTATCGCCGCGGCGCGCACTATTTTCGCTGGAGCATATTATTTTCTTATGGGAATAACATATTATCCTAAAGCTGCGCTTCATTGAAGCGTAAAGAGGGTTATGCTGCAAAGCATCGGTGGCGTCGTTGGTGTCTGCGCAAGATGCAATGGATCATATGTCCATGGCTGTGATAACAGCTGCTAATACTGGTTCAGCGCTATGGATAGAGGGAAAATTCTGTAAAAATCAAGAACCATGTTCCACTCCAACAAACTAGGATCCTGCGCTGAAAAAAAGGTGCATGCGTCTTGTGCAATATACAAATTCATGCGCACCTGTTCACTACGCATCATGTTTAGATAGGATAGAGATTGCATTTATTTACTGATTTTGTAAGTAGAGTACTGTGTTGTTGGAATATCTGCTGTCAATTGAGTATTACAGTTATACAGCTCCTCTTCTGATCCTTACGTTCATGGGCGTATTAGAAAACCAGTTTAGCTCCGCACGCAACCGCGCGCATCAAATGGTGGGCTTTAGTGAAACTGGACAACTTGCAGAATATTAGGTCACGTGGCTGAGAAACTAACAGTAAGATGTTTTGGAAGATGTGTCACATGAATTTCAAAGGTTGTCCAATTTTGCTGAAGATTGTCGCGTAATGCGCGCAGTAGCATGCGGAATGAAAATGGTACTTATCATGACTTCGTAAACATTTAGCATTGATATCGAGCTCGGGCGATTTAGCGGTTTATAGAATTTCCACAATTGAAGAATCGGTGTAAGTGAAATATAACCAATCAATCAGCATCTACCGAGCTATGATGGAAATTGGAAATATGATAGGGTCACAAAGCGAGCGGTAGGGAAATTGATAAAATTGCAGTTCATAATCGGGAAAAACACGTTCTTGGTATTATCAAACGATAGAATAAAGCACTGAAATGGATTTAAAGAAGAAATAACCTTTCAGAAAAAAAAACGATCAGTCATATTGTGAGTAGAACATAGTATAAAGAAGGGTCGGCGCAGTGCACCTAAAGTCCCCGCTTGCACAAGTACCCACCCTCGAGCTCCCTCCGTCTGTAGAAATGTGATTACTGCGGTAGGGGAGAACTGTTGTACCACGATACCTCTCCACAAAATTTGTATTCATAAATAATATGGATTTATCCTCACATAGTATCCCTTATTGTGTCTCGATCGAATAATAAAACTGAACGCAGCTAACAGGTATTCACTTGTTAAACGCAATTGTATGCGTGGCTTTAAGGTCATTCGAATTTCGCGCTCTATAAGCTCTGCGTCTTCTCTCCCCGAATGAATTTCGGGAGCATAGCATACGCCCTGCTTCGGGGACGTCTGCTTCGGGGATTTTCCCCGAAGCAGAACTCTTCCCCTTCCCCGAAAGCATAGCATACGGCCCATAGTATCCTTTTACACACTCCAACTATCGTAAACACTCATGAATAGCGAATGTGCAGGCAGCTAAAATTAGACTGCGACTGTCTCAGAATAATGAACCAACTTCTGATTGCGTTCAGAGTGGCAATCGCCCGCCGAATACGCGAAAGGCGATTGCGTATTGGCGGAGCAACAAATCGATACGTTAATTATTCTCTTATCGCTTCCTTTCCATACTTTTGATCTAGCTTGCCTAGTGCCTAACGGCGACATAACTTCTTTCGAAGCACAAGTAATCACCCTATCGTCTCATCGCACCGTACGATCCTTCAACTATGAACCTCCATATTCTGCTTCATTACCCTGCCGGTGCGAGGTGCAGTCGGTGCCGACGGCGCCGACCGCACCGACAGTGCGAAGAGCGTCAATACGCGCTCTGGCGCATGACGCGAACGTTGGGCGCAGATCGCGCGCTCCGATCGATAATCCTGGTTTTGGTGTATTTCTTGTGCTTTTCGATGTTTTTTTTGCGCCGTGTTGCTTTTATTCGTGTGTTATCTGCTCATACTTTTTTTATGTCTCGTTTCATACTTTTCAGTTGTTCCGCGGACGAGCGACTTCGTAGAACCCCGTCGTACTACCCCTGTGAAAGTGGCTATACCGGTGAGTTCATCATAAGCAATTTTGTTTATTCGAGTGGACTCTATAATTTTAGAAGTTGCTTTTTCTTCGATACGATTTCCTGCTGGTGTGCGAAAGGCCGCCGGATCTTGGTAATTTAATTATTCGCACACCAGCAGGAAATCGTATCGAAGAGAAAGCAACTACTGGAAACATACAGTTCACTCGAATAAACAAAATTGCTCATGATGAACTCCGGGTCTTGAAGCCACGTTCACACGGGGTTGTACGACGTCGCTCGTCCGCGGAACAACTGAAAAGTATTCATCAAGACATAAAAGAATAAGTATGAACAGAAAACACACTAATAAAAGGAAGACTGCGCAAAAAATATCGAAAAAGACAAGAAGTACACCAAAACCAAGATTATCGATCGGAGCGCGCCATCTGCGCCCAACGTACGCGTCATGCGCCAGAGCGCGTATTGACGCTCTTCGCACTGTCGGTGCGGTCGGCGCCGTCGGCACCGACTGCACCGACCGCACCGGCGCGAAGTATGGAAAGCACCCTTATTGCTTT